CTACTGATGAAGCGTTGTTGCGATAGTAATTCAACTCAGTACGAGAGGAACCGTTGATTCGGACAATTGGTATTTGCGGTTGGCTGAACAGCCAATGCCGCGAAGCTACCATCCGCAGGATTATGACTGAACGCCTCTAAGTCAGAATCCATGCTAAACGCAACGATCAGCTCTCCAATTGTTAGACAAGAATAGGCGGTTTCCGCCCTACGTCAAGCCCGGTTGTTCTGGCGTGCACGGAAGCGTGTACGTCGGTGACCCCATGGCAACTGAAACACAAGGAGAGTGAAATCCTTTGCAGACGACTTAAATGATGGACAGGGTATTGTAAGCAGTAGAGTAGCCTTGTTGCTACGATCTGCTGAGATTAAGCCCATTGTTCTTTGATTTTTTCTTTCTTTTCTTCTTCCTTTCTTCTCTTTCTCTGGCCTCTCAATCTCTTTGGCTCTCTCTTTTTTCCTCTTGGTTAAAAAGAAGGCTTTTTGGATTGCGACCTTGGCCGCTCTTTCTCCAATGAGGAAGCGCGCCTGTGTGTTGCAGTTTGAAATCTCTTTCTTTTTTGGCTACGAGGGAAAAGGGGGGCTAGGGGGATTGAGGGGCCTTTTTTATTTGCCTTGTACTGGCATCCCGAGTGGTTTGCATTCTCGAACTTGTCAGTGCAACGGCCCGCTCGGCTGTTTGCCCTTCTCACCATCTTGTCTACCCTGGAGCTTTGGGTCTTTGAGGCCTCGAGTCCCCCCAGGTCTTGTCTCTCTCTATAAGCATCCCGAGAGGCTGCGCTCATCCGACTTTGTGTGTTCCGGGGCTCCCCCAGCTCTGTGTTGTAAGGTAAGTGGCATCCCGAGGGGCTGAAATGCCCCGGCTTTGCGAAAAAAAATTGAAAAAAATTCGAACCCCTTGCGGATCGGGCCTTGGAAAAAAAATAAAATGGCGGCGAAATACGGCCTTCTGGCGTGTCTGAGGGGTCCTGGCGTGCTGTCCTGGTGTCTTTGGGCAGGCTAGCAGGGTTAGGGGCCTGGCTGTGACCGTATGGCCAAGGGTTAGGATAAGAAACCGATGCCATTCCTGCCCTGCTGTTCTGCTGTTCTGCTGTTCTGCTGTTCTGCTGCCCTCCTGTTCGACCTCCCCCTACCCTGCAAGGACGCCAGCAACATCCCCACCCCCTCAAACAAAACAAAACAAAACAAAAAAAAAGGAACCCACCTCTCTGCCTCTCTGCCTCTCTGCCCTTGTGCCCTTGCGCCCTTGTGCCGCTCACCACAAAAGTCGTCGCTAAAAAAGAGAACAAGTCGACTCACCCCCAGCTAATCACAAAAGTCGTCGCGAAAAAGGATAATAAGTCGACCTGTCCCATAAAAAGCACAAAAAAGGTTAGGGTTAGAAGATGTCGTACAAGATCTTGTTTTTAGAGAGAGTTTTTGGCGATTTTCCGCGATTTTCCAAGGGTTTTCAAGTGGATGTGTGCAAAGACTTGGGGAGGTTCTGGGGTTAGGGTTGGCTTTTCAGGTCGAAACCAGGACCCAGGGGGGCTGTTGAGCAGGGCGGATCGGATGGGCAGGGTTAGAGCTGGGGGTTGGAGGGTTAGGGTTGGGAAAAAGGGGAGTTGGATGAAAGTCATGCTTAAAAAGGAATGAGATTGTGAATATTTTGAAAGTG